AAGTTTACCTGAAATTATTACTAGAACTTTTTAGCATCTATTTCTTAACTTGATTGAAAGTTATTGTGCTGCTGCTATATTAGTCTGTTTTTGTACAACTAGGAGTCTCTGGTGTTGTATCGCGCTTTACAAATCCTTAAGGTTTTGCCTGCTTTATACTTCCTGGTGTTCCTTCATTCTACTCTACTGATGTACCCGATGCTCCCCTGTTTTTTGTTATATCACACTTCATATTACATTACTGGTGTACTATGAATGTCATCTTGTGTTGCATCGCGCTTTATTCTACTATAGTAGAATACCTTACAATGCTACAATATTACTGCTTATTTTACTTGATAATATCTTAGTTCAATATTTTGGTGACGCCACGAGGGTTTCATCTATTATTTTCAGTAAGTTAATTACATTGTACTAATACAGAATGTATACAAATAGTTTGCGATTTTGTTCTTTTGATATATTAGTGTCGATATATCAGCGTCTTGGCACAATTTAAATATGGAGGTTTCCTTTCTGATCGTACATAATTATTATCTTTACTATAATGGGTGCCCGGCATGGCCAGGTGGATAAGGCGCTCGACTCACAATCTGAGGGTCGCGGGTTCAAATCCGCATCCCACCAAACATGCTCGCCATTTCAGCCGTGGGGGCGTTATAATGTGACGGTCAATCCCACTATTCGTTGGTAAAAGAGTAGCCAAAGAGTTGGCGGTGGGTGGTGATGACTAATTAATTTGAAGCCTGTGGTTGATTTTTTCGGTTAAGCATTTTCGAACAAGAATAAAAACGATTATTTTTGTAAAAAACAAAAGCAGAGTAAATAATCCCATTTATAATAAAAAGCGAGAGGAAAACAAAACTAAACTTATCAACACAATGAGAATGATATGATTTTAATACGTTAAAACAAAGTCAAGAATTTTGGGAATCTTGAACTGCTCCTGTTCTGATGTAACAATTCGTTGGTTTTTTTTTATTTCGCAGATCCTGTTTTGTAGTGTTTCATGTCTGTTACAGTAATTCTTGTTTTAATATTAAAATGTATATAAAAAATAGCCTCAAAACGAAAACAAAAATTATAATAGTTTAGCTGTGATAAGGCAAAACCACTGTTATAAAATAATGTCAATCTCTCCAAGTCCATTAGGTATTTATCTGATGATTAGTCACTTCATCTAAAATGCAAATAATTGGTCATTCAGTCAAACGCTCGTAAATGAACATTTGGTAGAGAGAGAGATGATTTTATATTTTTTACAGTACACAAAGTTTCGTTTCAATATGGAGCGGCAACAAAGGCAGTCTGGTAATGATTATACATGCTTAAAATCAGTGTTGATAAGGTGTCGTGATATTGTCGACCACTCCTCTGAAAGAACTATTTCCAGGATATTGTTACGACAGCGGAAGTCACTTAACACTGCTGGCGCATTGGCGCTGGTGGCACGCGTGATGAGTTTCTCGAATGATCGGGGAAGTCCGAGTACTTTGGAGATGCCCTCTTCGTTAGTATATAAGCTTGGCAGAGGAAAGCCAGCACGGCGGGATATATGAATGAAGAGAGAGCAGTAGTTACTTTGAGTTCCGTGTAATTTATGATTCTGTTAGTTTCGAGCTAGTGAGCCGTAATGTGTGTGTTTTGCACTCGTCGAGAGCGAAATTATCGAGATTGTGAATCCGTGTAACTGTGAAAATTAAGTACATTACAAAGTTGTATTGAGGAAGAATAAACAAGTTTTATAAAGAAAGGACTTGTATCTTAGAAGAATTAACAAACAAATATACAGAGACGTAACACATCGTTTGCCAGCGTCTATGTTTGATTAAGTGCACTGTGTTGGTGAAGAGATCGGACTGCTCCTATAAAACGTAAATGTGCTCAAGTAAATGTTTTCTTTTAAGTCACACATTTCTGCACAACTGCTTCTCAAAACACCTACCTTTATCATTTTTGGATTTTAAGCCTACATAAATGCATGAATAAGCTAGATTGTAATAGTTCAAATCTGCACAAAAAATACACTTTTCAACAGTTTTTAATGCATCGTTATATGTTCGGAATTCCCCCCCCCCCCCACACACACACACGGAAAAAAATGTAAACTCTAAATAAAAATGTTGAAATAGTTATATGTTTACATTGAAGAAATCATTATTATTTTATCCGTGTAGATGTATCTGTATGTCAGGCTAAAACGTGTTCTTCCCATGACTGCTGTACTATCTTCCTGAATCTAGTAACACCACTACAGCTGAACAATGAAAAGCTAATAATTTTTAGGATTGTAATGTTTACTTGGTCTTTTGTAGTAGGTTCAGTGTTCATACAAAAATATGTTACAACATTAAAAACACAATACTGTTACTGCTTGTTTGTTTGTTTCCGGTAGAAATTATTTCCGAAGATCTTCAGCGATACAAGTCCTTTCTGGATTAAACCAGTTTATTCTTCCTCGATACAACTTTTAGTACACAGAAGTTCCACAATCAGTACATTTCTCGTCACTTTAAACTTAATAACTTATATAAAACACGCTATAAATCACAGCGCACTATAGTTCACAACAATTCACTCACTTTCTATCGCGCTTAGACTTAATTGTCCGTCCCCGCAAACTATAGTTCCGATCTCTGTGTCTGCTATCCTCAGTTCCCACCGACCATAATCGCTGTCTTTCTTTTTCTCTGCCTGCTTCGTCTCCGCTACGTCTCTGTCTCCACTACTGCTTCGACTCCCTCTGTCTCTCTCACTGTCTAGCGCACTTATATACGATAATACTGCCTGTTCTAGAAACTTCTAAGACTCTCAACACGTGCTACAAGCGTCAGTTGACGCAACGCTGTCGCAACACACTAGCAAATCTTCTAGAACACTCGTCACGTGACCCCCACTGTCGTAACAATATTTTGGTAGTTACAAACAGGGGTGAAATTCTGCCAACACTCACCAGTATTAAGTACCAGAACTTTATGGAGGTAGTAGTACCAGGACTTATTAGAGTTGCTTTGTCATTTTTTACATTTACACATAGATTTTTTAGCTTTTTTTATTTTATTTTTTAAATGAACATACCTATAAAAGGTGGATGTTGTTTCTTCAGTGTCTAATGATTACAACTATGTATCATACTGTAGTTAATAGTATGGTAAAAAATAAATACAATCAACTGATCAACAACATTATGTCTTTAAAGATTAACTACACTAACGATATAAAACATATACATATGTTCTAAGGTTTAATAGAGTATAGATTCTGTCTAAATGAAACAATCTAATTCAGGCTGGTTGAAGGGAACAGAAATATTTATATTCGATAGACCAGATGTCTGGCTGAAGTTAATAAATGAGTCTATTCGGGACAGGTGTATATAACTAGTAGTAAAGGAAATATTAAGATCTCCTCAGGCTAGAAGTATTTACAGTAGTGAAGTCTAGTAAAGGAAGAAAAATTATTCAGGTTCTCCTATGACCAGATGCATTAACAACAATTGGTTAAACAAAGTAGACTGTCTGAATGAAACAACTGACAATAGTAAAGATGGTAGAGAAGTTATCTGGGTCTCCAATGTTACTGTAATTTGTAAACCAGTAGCATGGTTATGGTGCACTAGAAGAGTTTGTATTTTTAGTTGCACCTAAGTTATAAAAGTACATGCACACACACACACACACACACAGTGGGCATCTGCCTTTCTTGCATCTCTCCTTCCCCTTTAAAATCATATCTCTAACAAAGTGCCCTGACTTATGGAACCTCCATTATCTAATGGCTTAAATTGTTTGTATTGTTACAACAGCAGAAGTCACGTGACACTGGTAATACGTGATGAATTTCTCGAATGATCATGAATTATCAAGTAAGCCCAAGTTTGTTTGAGGCGCCCTCTTTTTTTAGTATATAAGCCTGGCAGAGAAAACCTGCGGGATGAATGAAGAGAGTTCCGGGTAATTTACGATTATGTTTCGAGCTAGTGTATGTTTTCGAGATTGTGAATCGCTGTGATTTATAGTGTGTATTATAAATGTAGTTAAGTTTAGAAACGTACTGATTGTGAAATTACTGTGTACTAAAAGTTTGTATCAAGAAAGAATAAACTGGTTTAATCAAGAAAGGACTTATCGCTTAAGTTCCTCGGAAAGAATTTATACCGGAAATTAACAAACAAGCAGATATGCAACAGTATATTCTTATAATAAAAGTACTAAGCTTACCTGAACAGTTCCATTTATGAATCACTCTTATTGCACATACATGGATTCTACTAATAGAATATAGTTGTATATCAAATAAGTATTTTTGTCAGTTATAGATGTTGTAAAATATAAGTTATGATGCTATAGTTAATTTTACAGTTAGCTATCTAACTTAGGTACAAAATTGTTATAACATAAATTCAAAATACTATATAACTATCATCTTACTATATACAAATCATATAACCATATTCATGCACCAGAATATTCACATTCCACTTTTTCAGTTGATCATTTGAAGTTCATAATAATGTAACATTATTTGAAATTTTCAGTGTCTTTAGTAAGAACAGTGTAATCATATTTAGTTAGATCACTTGCTTATGTTCAAAGCCATAAATAATTTTCTTTGATTATATTTTCTTTATCAGATATTACTAATTAAACAGCAGAACATTAGAAAGAACTAAGAATTAGCTGCTCATCCACTTACTAAATGAACAAGATAATTTCAACAAAAAGTCACCTACTAAAAATATTTTTAAAACTACATATGAAAACATGAGTATTAATTTATTGAACGGTTAAATTATCTCAGACTATGTTATTTGTATTAACTGATATGGTGTATGCAATGAAATATTTAAATAACTGATACAACAAAAATTTATAATTGTCCATCATTACATTTTCTGCACATTGATACTTGTATCCTTTTGAGTCCCTATTTTGAAGCCATGAGGATTATTTTGTGGTTTCTCAAAATTGTATGAGTTTTTTTTTCATACTATCTTTCAGGTCTGGCAAGCTGCAGCAGAACAGCTTTTCTTCTCCCTCAGTGTCTCTTGGGGTAGTCTCATTATGTTTGGAAGTTACAATAAATTTCACAACAAAGTTCACATGTAAGTCAACAAATTGTTATAGAGCCCTCTATAACTTTTCTCACGGATATAAGATGTTATGATTGTGTTGTTAATTGACTTACATTAAAGTACACAAATGAGCTTTGATAGCATTTTGATGGTTACTTTTTTAAATCTCTGTTTACATTAGGGATGCTATGTTTGTCAGTTCTCTAGACTTTTTGACAAGTCTAATAGCTGGAATTGTAATTTTTTCTGTACTGGGAAACATGTCTGAAGAGTTGAACATTGACATCAAGAATGTTGCCAAGGAAGGTGAGTAAATAACCAACAATAGCATGTTTATTCTTGTGAAGCTAAACTTGTTCATAAATATTCTGAAATGAAATATAATATTTAAAAACCAGGAACAAGACATAACTGTCTAGTGTTTTGTGAAAGTTTTTGTAGTGGATTTGAGAATAGTTTTATCATTTACACATTCTTTTGGTGAGTCAGTGGTAAGTTTACAGACTTACAATGCTAGAATCAGAGGTTCATTTTCTCTTGGTGAAAAGAGTGCAGATAATCAATTTTGTAGTTTTGTACTAAAACAACAACAAAGAAATTATTTAAAAAAAAATTAAAAAGTAATTTTATATTTAAAAAAATATCATTCAAATGCAAGAATAATAAGTAAATTTTAGAATAACTTGTCTCTTGTGTTCTGTATAGGACCAGGCCTTGCATTTGTAGCATATCCTGAGGCCTTATCTCAACTACAGTGGTTACCACAGCTGTGGTGCATTTTGTTCTTTTTTATGTTATTCCTCTTGGGACTTGATAGTGAGGTGAGTGCAGAATAAGCTGAACTTAATTTTCAAACAGGTCCCAGGATACTATTTATGTGTTTGCAACTACTAATAGTGACTGACCTCAGTACAGCACCAATAAAGATTTGTATTGGTGAATCTAATAGCTAGTTAGAAACCATTGTTTTTATGAAGGTTTGTTTCTTTGTGTAATGAAGAAAACTTGACAGATAATTTTGCTATTGACCACTGATGTAGGAAAATATCTGTAAGATATGGTTACAACACAAATATTCAAACACTAGACGACACTTGAGTTAACTCGTATTGGGATTTTCTATTCATTAACAACAGGAAGTGATGTTTTTAATTACAGTTCATGACATTGCACTTTTACAGGTTTGTGTTGTTTTAGATAATCAAGGTTGATTAATATACTTGTTTACTTTAACTAAAACAAGATGGATATCTATAACAAATTCGATGATGAGGAACCCACTTTGAGACTAATAATGGCTGGAGACAGCTTGAATGGGTAATGAAGAAAAATGATGTCATCATGATAATGACAAAACCTTGTCGAAATATTGTACATTTGCTGTTATGTTAAACTTATATTAAAGTTTTTCTTCATTACCCATTCAAGCCGTCTCCAGCCATTATCAATCTATAACAAACATATGTACTGAGTGTAGACCAGTAGGATATCACTTATACTAATAAGTTCCTGTCTTAAACATCATGCACCTTAAGACTTGTTCAGAGCTGTATAGTAGATTACCATAATGGCATAAGGATGTTAGGACATGCAAAAATTAGATAAATGTGTTTAGTTGGCACAAAATAATAAATAGTATATATTTTACACTAATATATAAATTTCAAGTTTAGCTGGCATGTGACAAAACCAAATGTAGACACTTTACTGAGTAGCTGCTAAGGTATAATTTTAGAAGAAGTTAATTCTAACAATAGCACCAGGCCCAGTGAGAGGGCAGAGATATCAGGGATATTTTGCCCCAGAGCCTGGAAGAGAGGAGAGATAATATAATAATTGATTAAATAACAGAGAGACCATATATAAAATAAATATTATAAATGTTATCATTCATTGCTGAATTTTCAAATATGCACTACCACAACCAACATTGGCTGCTCAGTCATTATAATCTAGTTCTAATGAAGCATACAGAGAGAGTTGCAGAATCTAAGTGAGTAAATTACTGTCTTCAAGCTCACTACTTGTCAGGTGAACCCCAGTATGAACACAGCAACCTGTGCTCATCATGTATGTTACATTATTTTACAGAAAAAATTTGCAGCAAAATACTTTGCTATCATGATAGATGCAAAACCTGAATAATCTCATCAAGAACAGTCAACTTTTACCCTGAGGTATGTATCCATCCATCAGAATGTACTTTCTTTGTCATTCAAGAAAGGTTTCTAAAATTTATTGATTGCAATAAGAACACTGGGGCTAATATTTCTAATCTAATACTTGATTGTTTAGCTGATCATAAAATACCAATAATGGATTGCATAGCCTAAGGATATGATAATTGGTCCAACATGGCTGGTGAGTGTAATGGTGCTCAAGCTCTATTACTGAATGTTAATCCCTTGGTTAAATCACACCATGTGCTTGTCATACTCTCAATTTTTGTGGAGTACAAGCATCAGAAAGTTGCACAGAGGCTCAGACATTCTTTGGAATAGTTCAGAAGCTTTACAATCTATTTAGTTGTATCCCAAAGTGATGGAGCCTTCTTCTCAAGAATATAGGCTGTTCTCTTTACAGACTTTCAGGAACATGATGGACAGACAGAGTGGATAGTGTCAGGCCTCTTGCAGCTCATCTTCCTGAGATTTTAGATGCACTGTCAGAAACCCTAAAACTCAATCTTACATCTCAAACAAGAACTAAAGTCAAATGTAAGACTGACTATGTGCAGTCATTTTCTTGCATCTTGATGGCTGGAATCTTTTTAAAGGTATTCATGGTCATAAATCAGCACAATCAAATATTGCAAGTCTGCAATACTTCCATTGATATTGAAGTGAGCAACACCAAAAGTCTGTTGACTGATTTAAAAATACTGCATGAATATTGGAACTCAATTCTAAATGAAGCTAAGTTGATTACAAATAATGTGAACCTTCTGCCACAACTGCCTGCAAAATGGAAAACAGTACCTAAGTATTATCATGATGAAAAATAAAGATGACTCCTTGCCTAATTGTGAATCAAATGAATCTGTAGAGGAGACAAAATTAAGATGAAATACATTTTATAAGATCATAGATCCTGTTATTGCTTGGCTCACTACAAGATATAGAACAACCATGGATATTAATTACTTTTCTTTTTTGTGGTAATATCTAGATATATCAGAGAATGATCTACATTCAGAAACTAGAGTTTGCTGCCAATTATAGATTTGATGTGTCAGAAGACTTAGTGGAAGAAATCAAACATCAGATCTAAAGGCCATCAAGCTAACTTTGGTCATACTGTATTAAATAGATTTTCTAAACAAAATGCACAAATTTAAGCTACATCCACTTTTCTCAAATGTTTCTGTACCCCTTCACATTTTATGCACAATTCCAGTCACACTCATGGAAGGGGAGAGACCTTTCAGCAAGCTGAAACTGTTGAAAAATTATCTGCATTCTACCATTGCCTCAAACCAAATGACAGATTTGGGAACCCTTGCAATTGAAAACCAGTTAGCCTGTACTTTGGATTTCAGTATGAAAAAGATGATGCATCAACACTATCAATTCCCTTTACAAACTTAAACACCTCATTCAAATCCCTTCTAACTCTTCTTTTTTCAAGAGAAAATAATTTAAGAGAGCATAACTTCTCCTCATATGACAACACTTCCATCCCAGGCACCATTCTAGTAGCCCTTTTCTGAACCCTTTCCAACAATCCAATGTCCTTCCTAAGGTAAGAAGCCCAAGACTGAACACAATATTCCAAATGTGGCCTAACCAGTGACCTATACAATGAAATTATATCCACTTTAAACTTGTATTCAATATTTCTATTGATACAATGTAAAATTCTGTTTGCCTTACCACTAGCAACAGCACCAGTAGCATATTTTCTGTGTAAACCAGCCTTGGGAGGATTTTTAAAAAAAGTTTTAGTCAATATAAAAATATTTGAATCTCATCCATTTCTAGCACATAATTAAAGCAGTTTTGAAAAAGCAGTGACACAAAATGTTATTTACACGAGATATATTCATTGTTGACCTCAATGACTGCGTGAGTACTGATTATATGTGTCATCTATGGTGATTGGTGCGGCTAGGACAGTTCAACCTATAAGCGTACGTTAAACACTTTGGAAGTATATTGCTCATTATTGCAGTGCAAAGTAGGGTAATAAATGCCAGATGGCACTAATTTAGTATTATTTAATGCTAAATGCTAATTTATTTTTAGTTACGCATTTTTCATGATGGTTTTGAATATGCCACTGAATAGCACACTACTTTGATGGTTTTGGAGACTGATCAATTATTACACCAAGATACCTTTCTTTTATGACAATGTTAAGGTTATTCCTATCAAAATTATACTTATAATTTAAATTATGATAACCCACGTGCATTATCTTGTATTTATTGTAATTAAAAGTCATCTGCCACTTATTTGCCCAACTAATAAAATGATCTAAATCCTTTTTTAAAACAGCAGCATCCTCTTCACAGGTAGCAACACCAAAGACCTTAATATCATCAGCAGATTTAACTAATTTATTGACCATTCTTTTATCTATGTCATTAATGTAAATCAAAAGAGCAAAGGTTCTAAGACTGAGCCCTGAGGTACCTCACTTGTGACGTTAATCCAGTTTGACTGAACTCCATTTGTAACAACCTTCTGCTTTCTTCCATCTAGCCACTCTTCTATCTAATTTACTAACTTATCCCCCATACCTATAGAGTTAATTTGTTTTACTAGCGGATTCGAGGGGAGGGGGTTGCAGATGGTGAAGCCACCCCCATTTTTCATAATTTTGTGCCCTTATGCTGTAAATTGTGCACCCCTTTGAACAATAAATAACTTCAATAAAATATTTTATTTCCTACCTCTCCTAGCTACAGGCTAATAATCTATAATATTATACTTAAAATTGATGTATCATCTGGCTTCAACATATACATGATGTATGCTAAAATTATATGGCACCCATTCAGGCAACTGCACCTCCCTTTCCACATCCTAGATCCAGTACTGTTCACCTACATAAGCAATAAACTTTTCAAAGAATGTCAAAAGATTTATAAATCAAGATTTTCCCTTAGTGAAACCATGTTGACTATCCAACAAAAAGTCTAAAGTATGTTAAACAATATTGCAAAGAATCTTTCATCAGACTTTCCAAAACTTTTCCCACAACTGATGTAATAGGCCTATAATTACTTGGACAATTGACAAGGGGAGTGACATTACCTAACTTCCAATTCTTTGACACCTGCCTAGTATTCAAGGACTTACAAGAAATAATAGCCTCCTTCAAAACCCTCAGGAAAATAGTATCTGGCCCAGGAGCCTTTTCATTCTTTAAGCTTCCCAATTGTATCTTAACAAGCTAAGAATTAATGTGATCATCTTTTACGACCTTGTTTCCATCTATCAACTGTTTAAATTTTCATTAATAAAAACTTTATCACCCTCAAGGGTCCTACCCCCATCCT